GGCCCGGTCTTGGGGGGCTGCCCCCCCCTGCCACTCGGTCAGAATTATCTTTTGGTGGCAACGGGGCCCGTGTTTCCACCGGCCAGCGGTCTAGGACCGGACGTGAGGCAGATCAGGGGATGCAGTTGACGTGGGAACTGCATGTAGGTTGGCAGAATGTAATGGCTGAACCAGGGTTAGGCTGGTTAACCCGGGCGGAGGCAGCGTACAGGAGGCGTTTTGATGATACGGGTGTCGGTCTGCTCCTGAAGAAAGCCGTCTGCCCTCTAGCATCACGCGGAGGCACTGAGTCCGCCCGCGTGAGAGGTCAGCCGTAGAGGGTGTCTGTGCTGTGGTCGGGCACCTGCAGCAGGCCCCCGATTGGCACTCGTGGGGCTCAGGCTAAGGGGCTGTTTAATTGCAGTGTAGATGTTCGGGCCAAGTGTCCTACAGCCCGGGGCTGCCTGACCCAGAACGTTTACACCCGTTAAACGACACCTTAGTCCAACCCATGAGCTTGAGCCAGCCGGCACAGGCCAGCCGCGGGTTTTTAACTGCAGTGCGGATCTACCGTGCGGGTCCTCCCCGTCCTCTTGCAGGAAGCAGGAAACTTCTCTGTGGTGTTCACAGCCTTGGCGTCTCCCAGGAGCTGCGTGTGCGAGAGCTCAGCCCCAGCCCTGGCACGCTTGCCGTGTGGTGTTACTCGTTCCACACACCACCCAGTGCCATGACTCAGGGGAAGAGAGTCCGTGGCATTCCCCGATCGGATGGGTGGTTTGTTTGCACAGACGTTTCCCAGGTGTCTGCTCGGTGCCTCGGCTCGTGACCTCTCCTGTAGTCCGGGAAGAGGCTAACGTGACTCAAAAGCCTGTAGCCCATCGAAAGGGGAAGCCCTTTCAGCAAATGCCGCAGACTGGAGCTGGCAGGTGTTTCCTGGGGCTGCCTTCCTGTTACCTGGAAGGTACATGACCTCTGTGCATACGCCATGGCGGTAGCAGACTGGCTGGCGGGGAAAGGCTCAAACAGAGGCTTACTGGGTTTTGGATTCTTACAGCGGGGGAATTAGCTGGTCCTGGATGAGGCTACAGTGAGCTTTGTAGTGTTCACTCCACTCTGTCTCTCTACTGCAGTGGCTCCCAAACTTTTTGGCATCACGTCCCCTTTCTGATTTTTGAGAAACCCTCATGCCCCGCCCCCCCAATAGCATCAAAACTTGTTGAGCAAAAAAAAGGAACTGACCAGGATCAAGAAACAAAAATAGCAGCAACACTTACGGGGGGTGAGGGGGAGAATTGAACCCACACCCTACTGCATGAGGGCTCCATTGTTACTCAGACCGGCTTGGCTTGCAGCCCGCTAACCCAGCCCGGTCGGAGTTTCCACGGCACGAGGGCCTGGTGTCAGCTGTGG